AGGTTAAAGTACCGAGAAAATGGCAGCTAAATTTTGGTGATTTCCAAAGCTTGAGTGTTCTTGGAAACTGGAAATCTGTTGAGTTAATTTTTAAAAATCGCAAAAAATTCCCCAGCAGCCGAAAAATGCAGATTTCTTTGATTTCATCATTTTGACAACCGCCTGATGTCAGCACGATGCCTCACATATATATACATACAGTAAAACACGGATAGGCCAAACACAGAAGACTCAAAATGACGCATCGGTCGAACTGTGCCTGTGGTTCCAGTTTTATTTTTATTCTTTATTTTTGTAAGATATCCTTCGAACTATGCATCCCTCGAACTACCGAGGTCAGTCCCGACGAATTCGAGCTATCCGCGTTACACTGTATTCCCCATCAAATGACACAGATGGGACATTCGATTTCAGTGAACAAATGATAAATGTTCCCCTATAACGTACGATTTGAAAGACCATAATTTAATCTTTTAATTGAGTCATATTGTCCAAAATGTCAGCTGGTTTATTTTGCTGTTTTAAAAATTGAGGGTCGTTCAATGCATGCTGAAATGAACATTAAACTGAGTTATATTAAAAAAACGAAATTTTTCTTATGTTTGAAGAAAAAAACAAAAAGTTCATCAATCTTTATCAACTTATTCCTCATCCATAGACACAAACTATAATTCGGTCAGATCTACAATAGTTCACGAACCTATACCGACTGAATTTCAGTAACACACTCTGGTAAAAGTTCAAGAAATTATTCCCAATGACCTTAAACCTTGTTTTACAGAGATGACCCAAACTGCAATAGATGGAAAATGGCCACATTTCACCAGGAAAAATTTAAGATAATATGAATTGTAACTCCCAACAAAAAAAAAAGAAAATTTAAAAAAGATTGTTTAAGAAATAAATCAAAATGGCCACATTTCACCAAGACAGATTAAGTCAATATAAATAAACTGGGAGAAAAACCCCCACCATACTTCACCAGAAACACATTAGGACAATATCAATAGTAAGACCGAAAAAGAAGAAAAGAAGCAAACCACATCAGTGTGCGCCCCCCCCCCCCTCCCCGCCGACTAAAACACCTTGCAGAACCAGAAAGCAGCATCTCAAATGAAACAAAAAACAAAAGAACCCAAAAAAAACACAACAAAAATATAATACAGCGAAGGTTCTGGAAGTGAAAACTGACCTAAAGTAGGCTAATAACGGATCATTATATTCTACAAACAAAGAGAATAGCTGGTGATGGCACCGACATAAATTAAGACTGAGAATATTGTTAAGCATTGTTAAGTTCCGGTTCCCTCTCTTTATTACAGAGATACAGGATTTAAAAAGATAAATGAAAAGCGATCAAAAAGCTTGCCGGCTTCTGTCTTGGCTTCAGCATTTCTAATTCATGAAACTTTGTACGAGGCTCTGCCCATTGTCACTGTAGATGTTTGGCTAGAGCAACGTTTGTTTAAACTGTCAAAGAGCTGGCCAAACATCAGAATCGCCTAGCTACAATAATAAAGAAGAAGAAGAAGAATGAATAGCATTTATGCTGCTCATTTTCATTTTCTAAAAAATGCTCAAAGCGCATTACTTTAATAAAGATATCACATCTTAAAAATCACTGGATATTTGAGTACGTAAAACATGGTACAATGTATCTAATGGCAAGATAAATTATAATTATTAAAGGCAGTTTCAAACGAAAAAAAGAAATTGGGCATGAAAATATGGAATCATTATTTAGCTAAAAGTACAGGGAAGAAGAATATCTCTTATAAAAATGTATCTTATGAATACTTACGGACTTTATGACCTTTTGAACACTTGGACAGCAAATGGTTGTCCACTTGTAAATGTACGGCAAGTTCAGGAAACTCACACTACAGACACTGAAACTTTTCCAGTTTAGTTTTTGTAAGAGTTTTACGGCACTTGCAACACAATAAGGTCATACAAGTGCCGAAGATTAGAGGTGTTACAAGAGAGTAACAAACACAAAAAGAAGTAAAGGATGATAAGGACGATAGATGTTTGATAGGAAAGAAGGAGCAAACAACACCAGAGCACCCACCAACCACCCACTCACTGAAACTGAGACTGTGATGTCAACTTCCCCATTTACAATGATACCCAGTAATAAATAACATTTCTGTAACGCATATACCCCCATTCTACAGCAAGCTCTATGCACTTTACAATCTATATTACTACCCCAGCAGACCATAGAACACTCAGAAACATTCACGGCTTCCCGGAGAGCAATAAATGAAAGAAGTTGATCAAGCATTCAAGCAGTAACAGAGAACATCTTTCGCTGTCTATAGCCCCGTACCCATCCCACTGACATGTACTTTCGCTGTCTATAGCCCCGTACTCCTCTCACTGACGTGTACTTTCGCTGTCTATAGCCCCGTACCCCTCTCACTGACGTGTACTTTCGCTGTCTATAGCCCCGTACCCCTCTCACTGACGTGTACTTTCCCTGTCTATAGCCCCGTACCCCTCTCACTGACGTGTACTTTCGCTGTCTATAGCCCCGTACCCCTCTCACTGACGTGTACTTTCACTGTCTATAGCCCCGTACCCCTCTCACTGACGTGTACTTTCACTGTCTATAGCCCCGTACCCATCCCACTGACGTGTACTTTCGCTGTCTATAGCCCCGTACCCCTCTCACTGACGTGTACTTTTGGTGTGTAGAAGGGTATGGGTAGAGTGCGCTGACGTGTACTTTTGGTGTGTAGAAGGATAAGGGTAGAGTGGGCTGACGTGTACTTTTGGTGTGTAGAAGGGGATGGGTAGAGTGCGCTGACGTGTACTTTTGGTGTGTAGAAGGGGATGGGTAGAGTGCGCTGATGTGTACTTTCGGTGTGTAGAAGGGTATGGGTAGAGTGTGCTGATGTGTACTTTCTGTGTGTAGAAGGGTATGGGTAGAGTGTGCTGATGTGTACTTTTGGTGTGTAGAAGGGTATGGGTAGAGTGCGCTGACGTGTACTTTCGGTGTGTAGAAGGGTATGGGTAGAGTGTGCTGATGTGTACTTTTGGTGTGTAGAAGGGTATGGGTAGAGTGTGCTGATGTGTACTTTCTGTGTGTAGAAGGGTATGGGTAGAGTGTGCTGATGTGTACTTTCTGTGTGTAGAAGGGTATGGGTAGAGTGGGCTGATGTGTACTTTCGGTGTGTAGAAGGGTATGGGTAGAGTGTGCTGATGTGTACTTTCGGTGTGTAGAAGGGTATGGGTAGAGTGTGCTGACGTGTACTTTCGGAGAGTAGAAGGGTACAGCTAGAGTACACTCGGGTATGAACTCAAGTCTCCAGTCTATATGTGAGGCATCGTGGTGAAATCAGGTGCTCATCAAAATAATGAAATCCGAGAAATTGGTATTTTTCTGTCCATTAGGCAATTTTTATGGAATCTTTGTTTTTGACTCAACACCTTTACGGTCCATTTAAAAACACATTTCTGTGTGGATTTTACTATAAAATGTTGATTGAAGGTACAAAAATGTACATTTGCAATTTCTAAGGATTCTCAAGCTTTGGAAGTAGGCAAACTTTGGAGGAATTTTCTCGGAAATTTAACCTCTTAAACCAGGTGACCCCCACCTCCTTCAATAACAAATATCTCGACTTCTATTCGATGATAGATGAGCAATTTTTTCACCAAATACAAGACAAGCGAACAAGCTGTACAGTGATACCAGCAACTCCACATGTCCAAAAATTGACGAGCGCCTGATTCCACCGCGTCATCCCATATAAAAGGTTAAAAAAAATAATGAAGCACCAATATTCTACAAAGGATATTTCCGCCACAAACGGAGCATGTTTCCACTGGGATTTCTCGAACTTGGGAGAACTTCTGGTCTAGCTTGACAAGTCCGGCGGGGACCGAGGACTCCAGACCGCAGCCGGACGCCCAAAGTCTCATGGCGTTCAGAACGGTCAGATCTGTGAGAGTCATCATGAGAAAGAGAAGAAGAGAAAAAGTCAAACATGAGTTGAGGAGGATGGAGGGTTTTTGGGGTTTTTTGTTGTTTGTTTGTTTGTTTGGGTTGGGGTGGGGTTTTTTTTGGGGAGGGGAGATTCAGTAACTATAAGCATATCAACATAATAACAATCACTTAGAAATTGTAGTCTTTTAAAATGTAGGTATTTTACGCCCTCATTGACACAATTTAGATCATTTAAGAGATGGCCTTTGACCCTGCCCAGCGGATAGGGATACAATATTCAAGCAAAAAGAACGAGCAAACCTAGTGGTAAAAGCATTAGTGAACAAACCTTGTGGTGAAGGTGTTAGTGAACAAACCTTGTGTTGAAGGTGATAGTGAACAAACCTTGTGGTGAAGGTGTTAGTGAACAAACCTTGTGGTGAAGGTGTTAGTGAACAAACCTTGTGGTGAAGGTGTTAGTGAACAAACCTTGTGTTGAAGGTGATAGTGAACAAACCTTGTGGTGAAGGTGTTAGTGAACAAACCTTGTGTTGAAGGTGATAGTGAACAAACCTTGTGGTGAAGGTGTTAGTGAACAAACCTTGTGGTGAAGGTGTTAGTGAACAAACCTTGTGTTGAAGGTGATAGTGAACAAACCTTGTGGTGAAGGTGTTAGTGAACAAACCTTGTGGTGAAGGTGTTAGTGAACAAACCTTGTGGTGAAGGTGTTAGTGAACAAACCTTGTGGTGAAGGTGTTAGTGAACAAACCTTGTGGTGAAGGTGTTAGTGAACAAACCTTGTGGTGAAGGTGTTAGTGAACAAACCTTGTGGTGAAGGTGTTAGTGAACAAACCTTGTGGTGAAGGTGATAGTGAACAAACCTTGTGGTGAAACTGTTAGTGATGAAGGTGATAGTGAATAAATCTAGTGGTAAATGTGTTAGTGAGCAAACCTTGTGGTGAAAGTATTAGTGAACAAAACTTGTGGTGAATGTGTCAGAGTGCAAACTTTGTGGTGAAGGTGATAGTGAACAAACCTTGTGGTGAAAGTATTAGTGAACAAACCTTGAGGTGAAAGTATTAGTGAACAAACCTTGAGGTGAAAGTATTAGTGAACAAACCTTGTGGTGAATGTGTTAGTGAACAAACCTTGAGGTGAAGTTGATAGTGAACAAACCTTGAGGTGAAGGTGATAGTGAACAAACCTTGAGGTGAAGGTGATAGTGAACAAACCTTGTGGTGAAAGTATTAGTGAACAAACCTTGAGGTGAAAGTATTAGTGAACAAACCTTGTGGTGAATGTGTTAGTGAACAAACCTTGTGGTGAAAGTATTAGTGAACAAACCTTGTGGTGAAAGTATTAGTGAACAAACGTTGTGATGAAGATATTAGTGAACAAACCTTGAGGTGAAGGTGATAGTGAACAAACCTTGTGGTGAATGTGTTAGTGAACAAACCTTGTGGTGAAAGTATTAGTGAACAAACGTTGTGATGAAGATATTAGTGAACAAACCTTGAGGTGAAGGTGATAGTGGCAGCTTGCTGTAGCAGTCTGTGACGTATCTGAGGAGAAGCTGTGTGAAGATTGTTGCCGACGCTTCCTTCACCCACTCCAGCTCCTGCTGGGGGTCAGACAGAATCTCTCATCAGCAGTCTGGTTTGGTTTTAGTTTAGTTTGGTTTTAGTAAGAGTTTTACTTTGACGACACTGTTTTTAGTTTTAGTAGAAGTTTTACGGCACTCGCAACTGCATAAGGCCATAAGAGCGCCAGAAGATTAGAGGTGTTACAAGAGAGTAACATACACAAAAAAGAAGGAAGGGAGATAAGGCAAGGACGACAGATGTTTGATATAGGAAAGAAGGAGCAAACCACACCAGAGCACCCGCCAACCACCCACATTTAGTTTTAGTAAGTTTTAAGGCACTTACCGCACACATAGGTCGTTTATGTGTCAAAGATTAGAGGATTTACAAAAGAGGAAAATACAAAGATATATTCTAAATATTTTTACAAAGTTTAAGACAAACTGTTGAACCTGTTCCTCCCCCCCCCCCCCCCCCCCCCCAATCCAAATCGATTACAATTTAGATCGATTAGGAGGCGTTTAGATCGGGTTTAGATCGATTAGGGGGCGTTTAGATCGATTAGGGGGCGTTTAGATCGATTAGGAGGCGTTTAGATCGATTAGGAGGCGTTAACATCGATTAGGAGGCGTTTACATCGATTAGGAGGCAGGCTTCAACCCTGCCTGTCAGGGTCACATCAACTTGTTAGACAAGAGAAAAGTAAAGGTTTCCAAAAACCCAAAGCATCACTCTCCCCTAATGGCTTCATGGCAAAAGAAAGAGATACAACTGCAATCAACGGAAAATTTATTACAGCCTAGACTTAAAAAATAAATAAAAAAACAAATAGATAGAGGAATTAATATACAAACAAAGGTAAAATACCACCGAAAAAAACCGAAGTCTCAGGTTCCATTTATAATAGCGATGACAATAAAAAAAATTCTTATAGAGGAATAAATATATTCAAAGCAAATACCAAAGAAATAACAATATCTCACCTTCCATTTATTATAGCGATGACAATTTTAAAAATAGAGGGATGAATAGATTCAGAGCAAATACCAAAGAAATAACTATTCGTCTCACGTTCCATTTCAAAAAGCGATGACTTGAAAAAAGAAATTATAAAGGAACGAATATTTAAAGAGCAAATAACACAGAAGTAACAATATCTCACCTCCTATTTATTATAGTGATAACTTACAAAAAGAAATTATAAAGGAATGAATATTCAAAGAGAAACTAAAACAAAAAGTAACAATATCTCAAGTAACATTATCTCACCTTCCTCCTTCTTCTGTAAAACTGGCCAGTGTACGTCAGCATATCTCTGAAAAATACAAATTTCAGTCACGACACGGTGGAATCAGGCGCTCGTCAATTTTTGGACATGTGGAGTTATTGGTACCATCTTATAGCCTGTTTATTTGCCTTGCTTTTGATGAAAAACATCCAATCGAGACATTTGTGGTTGAAGAAGATGGGGGTCACTTGGTGTCAGAAGTAAAAATTGTGACAAAAAAAGCAGGAGAATATTATGTCAGTGCACCAGGTAACAGCGCACCCTTGTCTCACCTGAGCCAGGTATCAGCACACCCTTGTCTCACCTGAGCCAGGTAACAGCACACCCTTGTCTCCCCTGAGCCAGGAAACAGCACACCCTTGTCTCACCTGAGCCAGGTAACAGCACACCCTTGTCTCACCTGAGCCAGGTAACAGTACACCCTTGTCTTACCTGAGCCAGGTAACAGCGCACCCTTGTTGTCTCAACTGAGCACCTGTAGAACTCTGAGGTCGTCGGAGGTAACAGCACACCTTTGTCTTACCTGTACAGGTAACAGCACACTCTTGTCTCACCTGAGCCAGGTAACAGCACACTCGTGTCTTACCTGAGCCAGGTAACAGCGCACCCTTGTTGTCTCACCTGAGCACCTGTAGAACTCTGAGGTCGTCGGAGGTAACAGCACACCCTTGTCTTACCTGAGCCAGGTAACAGCACACCCTTGTCTTACCTGAGCCAGGTAACAGCACACCCTTGTCTTACCTGAGCCAGGTAACAGCACACCCTTGTCTCACCTGAGCCAGGTAACAGTACACCCTTGTCTTACCTGAGCCAGGTAACAGCACACCCTTGTCTTACCTGAGCCAGGTAACAGCACACCCTTGTCTTACTTGAGCCAGGTAACAGCACACCCTTGTCTTACCTGAGCACCTGTAGAACTCTGAGGTCATCGGAGGCGCGGAGCGTCTGGTACAATGTCCTGAGGTCGTCCTTGTCCTCGCTGTCCGCCAGATCTCGCACGTGCTGTCGCAGACAGATCAAGATATCCGCCACCGAGGACTCAGGAGCTGAAGGCATCATGTCACGTGGGGACGAAGAAGACGCGTATCACATGGCAACACATGTACAGTAAACTAACCTATGTTTCAACGAAAAAGCTTCAGCATAAGTACCTCGGTCACGTACACAGAAACAGTTTTAGTTTTTTAGTTTTAGTAGAGATTTTACAGTGCTCGCAACTGCATAAGGTCATATGAGAGCCAAGGGGTGGGTGTCAGCAGAGAAGTCCTTACAGGGAATCAGACTTACTCTGCTCACCTCTCTAGCCTCAACAGCACAAAGTCTGCTTCGACTATCAAGGCACCCCAGAAATAGCGGGTCACAAGAGTGTGACAAACATACAAAAGAAATAGAGGAAAAATGACAATAGTAAGGATTAGGAGAGAAAAAGCAGCAGTTCCCTGTTGTAGATCAGGCACAGTTATGAGCGTGACATGAATCAGCCCAATTACAATTCTACTGTGTTTGAACGAGAAAAGTCCCCCCTTTGGGAATGGCCTAAAGACACTTCAGCAGGGCTGCCAACCCATCTCCATGGTTTTTAGTAATGACCATGTAGAAAATTCGAAATTTCCCATGAAAATTAGTAACAGTGCTCTCATTTTCAAGTCACTATATTACAACGAACAAAAATATGTCTTAATTACGGAAAAATAGGGCTTATCGAAAGCTTCTATGCTTCTACTCGTGTGCAGTTTTATTGTGGGCAAGGCTAACTCGCACGAAGTGGCCAGCTGTTCCTTTTTTTTAGGGGGACGGGGGTTGATTTAGAGATTGGCGGTTTTCCGACTATTGGCGGGCGATTTACAGGTTTGCACTAAGATTTGCAAAATAAATAAAAGAGCCTAAAATATTTTTTTTATAGATCTAGCCAAACATCTGCTGATGGTGAAAATCGTAATAAATCGCCTTACGATCGGAATTTCGTAGTGAGGCTAAAAAATCGTAATGATTACGAAAAAATCAGAATGGTTGGCAGCCCTGCTTCAGTCAGTGAAAATGGTGAAATGGTATGGGTTTAACGAACATAGACATGGTGACAGGTAAACGTGACAGGTGACATGTGACAGGTGACGGATGACAGGTGACAGGTGACGGATGACAGGTGACAGATGAACATGACAGGTGATGGGTGACAGGTGACAGGTGACGGATGACAGGTGACAGGTAAACATGACAGGTGACAGGTAAACGTGACAGGTGACGGATGACAGGTGACATGTGACGGATGACAGGGGATACTAGTACTGGAAACATTCAAAAGTCCCTTAGTTTTAGTAAGAGTTTTACGGCACTTGCAACACAATAAGGTCATATTAGTGCCGAAGATTAGAGGTGTTACAAGAGAGTTACAAACATAAAAAAGAAGGAGGGGAGATAGAGACGATAGATTTTTTTATAGGAAAGAAGGAGCAAACCACACCACAGCACCCGCCAACCACCCACATTCAAATGTCTACAAACTGTAGTTTTACTAAAAGTCCTAGAAATTCCATTCATTGTTGAGTCAGTAACTAACACTGTACATCATTGTTGTGTCAGTAACTAACACTGTACATCATTGTTGTGTCAGTAACTAACACTGTACATCATGGTTGTGTCAGTAACTAACACTGTACATCATTGTTGTGTCAGTAACACTGTACATCATTGTTGTGTCAGTAACACTGACATCATTGTTGTGTCAGTAACACTGTACATCATTGTTGTGTCAGTAACCTGTTGTGTCAGTATCACTGTACATCAGACATGCGTAAACTTTTCCGACTGTGGACAACTCTGACTTGGCAGAAACAGTAAAGGGCAGCAACTTTTCAAATGAAGACATTTCGCCCTAGGTAACTTTAAAATTTTTAAACTTAAAAAACCAACAACAGAAAAACAAAACAAAATATAAACCAAATTGCTACAAAACGATAAGAATTCTATCTCCATTCCTATTATATTTATTATATATATGTATATAAATATATATATATATATATATATATATATATATATATATATATATAATTGTTATTTTTAATTAAGCAGACAAATTTTCCTTTCAATTACAATACAAATACTATCTTGCTCCAGCACGTTATGGGATTTCCATTTTTAAGAAATTCGCTAAATGTTCCGGTGAGCTGCACAGAATTCTAGGAAGGGCTCCATTGAGCCAACAGGCAATAGTTTGCCCACCCCTGCCGTAGATGGAAAGGTCAAAGAGATGACCTTGAGCTGAAGTCACGGCCTTGCTTACCTGTCGTGGTCAGGCTGGAGACAACGGACTTGGAGAAGGAAAACGGCATTGTCAGAGTGACCTGAGGGGGAAAGTTTAGTTTTTGTGGTTAGCTGTGTGATTTCGGGAAATAATAAATAATAAATAATAGATAGCATTTGTATAGCGCATATCCCCGCTCAACAGCAGGCTCTATGTGCTTTACACTATATTATTACCCCAGCAGACCATAGAACACTCCGAAACATTCTCAGCTTCCCGGGAGGCATACAGTGCAAGCAGCTGATTAAGCGCTCAAACACTAACAAACTGACAAGATCTTTCGCTGTCTATAGCCAGATACCCATTCCCACCTGGGTGAAGTGAGGAAAATTCGTGTAAAGTGCCTTTCCCAAGGACACAACGTAGAGCTCCTGACGGGATTTGAACCCACGACCTTACGGTTGCGAGTCCGAGAGCCTAACCACTAGGTCACCGATTAGGGAAAGTAGTCGAGTACGGTAGGCTACCTATTTGACGTTGAAGAAAACAAGGGCAGGCCAAGGCCTGAGCCACGCACTGTGGAAGACCGTGTGAGTTGCAGTCGAGGCGCAGAGCACAGAGTTGTCACCAGTCAGTGCAAATTGGATCGCTACACGAGGTGGGTGTGCATAGTTAAATAACAAGCGTGTTTAGGTAAACCACAGTTTTAGTAAGGTTTTACGGCGCTCGCAACTGCATAAAGTCATATGAGCATCAAGGGGTGTTTTAGCTTTAGTAAAGTAATGTTGCGTGGCGGAGCCCATCCCTCCCCATGCCAGACCACAGCCAAAATCTTCCCACTCGGTGGCTCGTCTTGGTCTCAAACAAGAAGCCGTCAAACATTTATTATTGTTAAAAATAATGGTTATTTATATCATATGCGTAAGACTGTGGGTCTGTTAGTGAGTATAATCACACATGTGTATGTGTACGTGTTTGTGGAAGAGAGGACGAGTGAGAGTGTAGGTGTGAATGGGTGTTCAGTTGGCATGTGTGCGTGGTTTTGTGTGTGTGTGTGAGAGTGCATGTGTGTGTGAGAGTGCATATGTCTGTGAGCGTGCGCACGTGTGTGAAAGTGCATGTGTGTGTGTGTGTGCGAGTGTGAACACGCGCATGTGTGTGTGTGTGTGTGTGTGTGTGCGAGTGTGCACACACGCATGTGTGTGTGTGTATGTGTGCGTGTGTGTGCGTGTGTGTGCGTGTATGTGTGCGTGTGTGTGCGTGTATAGTAATATCATCAAACCAATGTGCTTGTACCCAGACAATAAAAATTTATCTTATCTTATCTTATCTTATCTTATCGTATACCCTCCATTAGCAAAACCTGCATCGCGACCACACCTTATATGTGTCAATCAGCATCTTTTTGGAGCCTCGCGGAAGATTCCGATTTGGTCTGCAAAAGAAAAAGAAAAGAACAATAAGATTTTTAAAACATTTCATGGAACACAAAACTGCCACTCGAGAATAATAATAATAATAATAATAAATAGCATTTATACTGCGCATTTCCATTTCCTAAAAGATGCTCAAAGCGCATTACAATGAAAAAGACATCACATCTTAAAAATTAATCGACACAAATGTGTACGTAAAACAAAGTATTATACATATAATATAAATGCATATGTGTAAAATTTTATACCAGAAAAACAGGCTCGCAGTGAGGTTGAAAATGTGTTCACTAAAAATATACAATGCAATAAAAATTCACGAACAGTCAAAATAAAGTTGAAACGTGAGGAACTAGAAACATTCATTAAAACATTAATTCTATACAGATAGAAAAACATTCCCGTTCTCTCTAGTGAATGGAATTTCAGCCACGTGGTATCTAGTAGAACACGGCAGTTGAGTGTCCCCGAAACTTTCAGGCAAAAAGAAAAAATAAATAAATTCAGAACTATGAAAATTAGAAAGTCTCCAGTTTTTTAGTTTTAGTAGAAGTTTTACGGCGCTCGCAACTGCATAAGGTCATATGAGCGCCAGAAGATTAGAGGTGATACAAGAGAGTAACAAACATAAAAAAGAAGAAAGGGAGATAAGGACGATAGATGTCTGACAGGAAAGAAGAAGCAAACCACACCAGAGCACCCGCCAACCACCCAGTCTCCAGTTTAGATTCTAAATTAAAGTATGAACTTCTGAACATCCTGTCCCTCATATTTCGTAATTACATAGTTTCATTTAACACCTTCAAAATATAGAAATTATGACGTATTTTTAGTTTTAAAAAGACCCTTAAAAAAAAAAAAAAAACCTTGAAGAGTACAAGGAATTCAAGTTATGCGTACCTGTGTACAAATAAATAAAACATTCTGTTATTTGACACGCTACAACATAGGTTAGTGACAAATACTTGTGTGCGGATAAACAAAATACGGTAGCACCTGCTCTAACCGCCACCTGTACGATCGTACGAGACAGTCGCATGAACAAATACGATCGTACGAGACAGTCGCATGAACAAACAGCCACTCCCCATTTCGCAGTCTAGAGGACAACTATTCAACGTGACATGTCGACCGAAATGGAAATTTTTCAATGGCCTTCGCTTCCACCAAGGGATGCAACTTGTGTTAAAACATCAGAGCCGTAGATTTAAAAATGACTGAGTTACAGCCCAGAGAAAAATGATTCTATCTCCTACTTGAGCAAACATTTAGAGCAAAAGTATGATATGTGGCAGTTAAAATACTTTTCCCACTTCAAAAAATTGCTACCGGCGGTAGGAAATGAAGAAAACTATTGTAAGCGCACAAGTTACAATAATTTTTTTCTCACTTGGCTCTGCAAAAACAAATGAAACTATTTCAAGTCCCGCTTTAGAATAGTTTTCCTCACACTTTTGTTCAGAAAAAAAGTATTCTAAATGAAACTTTGTTAGATTTAACAAGAATGGAAGAAATTGAGTAGAAAATGATTTACAAAATGAGCCTGTGTTTGTTTTTTTCTACAGTACATGTGAGTTTCGGATTCTAGAATTGCGTTGTTGAAATGAGAAAGTTTTTTTCCTTCTCCAGTAAAATTTGCAAAATGTCACTAAAAATAGTTTTCCTCCAGACCCGCAATTTGTCCCCTTGCATTTTTTAATACATTATAATGACACTGTAAGACAAACACCTATCAGCGCTCATATGACCTTATGCAGTTGCGAGCGCCATAAAACCCTCTACTAAACTAAAACACCTGTCTAAGACAATGTCTCATGGACAACAGGTGGCTGTCTTACACAATCTCAGCTCTATTCTGTTAGCCGACATAGTACTTTAATTTTAGTGTTTTACGGCACTTGCAACACAATAAGGTCATAAAAGTGCTGAAGATTAGAGGTGTTACAAGAGAGTAAGAAACATAAAAAGAAGGAGAGGTAAGGACGATACATGTATGATTGGAAAGAAGGAGCAAACCGCACCAGAGCACCCGCCAACCACCCACTCATAGTACAGATTATGTAAGTGACATACATCTGTGTGTGCGAATAAATAAAACAATCTGTTGGCCAATATGGCACAACATAACGTGGCCCGGTACGATAACACCGACAAACTCAAGCGGAGTAGCTTCTACAGGAGAAAAAAATTAGTTATTTGTGAGACATGTGCTCAAAGCAGGCCACTGTCAAAACTACTTATTTGTTCATGGTCAAAGCAGGCCACTGTCAAAACTACTTATTTGTTCATGGTCAAAGCAGGCCACTGTCAAAACTACTTAACTTATTTGTTCATGGTCAAAGCAGGCCATTGTCCAAAGAAGGAAATCAAAGACACTGGCATTTTTCTAGTCGTTGGGCAACTTTTTTTTCTAATTTTCTTTTTTTAGCTTAACTCCTTTTACGTCTTTTTAAAGACACATTCTGCGTGGATTTTAGTGAAAAACATTGATTAAAGGCACAAAAAATGTAAATGTTCAGTATCTAAGGACTTTCAAACTATCGAAGCCACCAAACTTTGGCGGCCATTTTCTTGCTAACTTTACTTCTGGAACCAAGAGACCCTCACCTCCTTCAATCGCAAATATTTCCACTTCTATTCAAGATGGATGGATTTTTTTTTCACCAAAAGCAAGGCAAATGAACAGGCTATACGATGATACCATTAACTCAAATATGCCCAAAAATTGACGAGCGCCTGATTCCACCTCGTCGTGACACATTTGATTTCACCACATAACAACCTGACGGCTTCATTTCTAACATTTCAGGAGCATTTCGGGACAAAACTCAAACCTCTCTTTGACTCATTGTTTTAGTAAGGTTTTACAGCGCTCGCAACTGCATAAGGCCATATAAGCGCCAAGGGGTGGATGTCAACAGAGAAGTCCAAACGGGGAATCAGGCTTACCTTGCTCACCTCTCTAGCCTCAACAGCACAAAGTCTGCTTCGACTATCAAGGCACCCCGGAAATAGCAGTTCACCAGACAGTGTCAAACATTTAAAAGAAATAGAGGAAAATGACGATAGTAAGGATGAGGAAAGAAAAAGCAGCAGTTCCCCCTAAGTTGCTCCAGCACAGTATGAGCATGACATTGATAAATCAGTCCATTTACAATTCCACTGTGTATAAGAACATGGAAAAAGACATGGTAAAACATAGGTAAGTGACACTAACAACAGGTAAGTGACACTTACGACTTGGAAAAACATAGGTAAGTGACACCAAGGACATGGAAAAACATAGGTAAGTGACACCAAGGACATGGAAAAACATAGGTAAGTAACACCAAGGACATGGAAAAACATAGGTAAGTGACACTACCGACATGGAAAAACATAGGTAAGTGACACTAATGACAGGTAAGTGACACTAACGACATGGTACAACATAGGTAAGTGACACTAATGACAGGTAAGTGACACCAAGGACACGGAAAAACATAGGTAAGTGACACTAACAACAGGTAAGTGACACTGACAACATGGAAAAACATAGGTAAGTGACACTAATAACATGGAAAAACATAGGTAAGTGACACTAACGACATGGAAAAACATAGGTAAGTGACACTAACGACATGGAAAAACATAGGTAAGTGACACTAACGACATGGAAAAACATAGGTAAGTGACACTAACGACAGGTAAGTGACACTAACGACATGGTACAACATAGGTAAGAGACACATACCTGTGTACAGATAACGCAAACATTCCATTGGCCGACATCGTACAGCCGTAGCAGAGGAACTCGATCTCCGCAAACAAGGGCAAGGCCAGCGGTTTCATCTTGAACACCGACATCTTCACCTTGTCTGTCCAGGAAGAGAACAGAAAGATTGTCTTTGTAAGGTTTTTACGGCGCTCGCAACTGCATAAGGTCATAGGAGCGACAAGGGGTGTTTTTGTTTTAGTAAGGTTTTACGGTGTTAGCAACTGCATAAGGTCATTGGAGCGATAAGGGGTGTTTTTGTTTTTGTAAGGTATTTACGACGCTCGCAACTGCGTAGGGTCATACGAGCGACAAGGGGTGTTTTTGTTTTTGTAAGCTTTTACGACGCTCGCAACTGCATAAGGTCATATGAGCGATAACGGGTGTTTTTGTTTTAGTAAGCTTTTACGGCGCTCGCAACTGCATAAGGAGCGACAATGGGTGTTTTTGTTTTAGTAAGGTATTACTGGGCTCACAACTGCATAAAGTCATATGAGCACCAAGGGGTGGATGTCAACAGAAAAGTCTTTACAGGGAATCAGACTTTCTCTGCTCACCTGTCTAGCCTCAACAGCACAAAGTCTGCTTCGACTATCAAGGCACCCCGGAAATTGCAGTTCACAAGAGAGTGACAAACATACAAAAGAAGTAGAGGAAACAATGATGATAGTAAGGATGAGGAAAGAAAAAGCAGCAGTTCCCCCTATGTTGTTCCAGCACAGTATGAGCATGACATAGATAAATCAGCCCATTTACAATTCTACTGTGCATAAGAACATGTTACTATCCCCCCTTTGGGAATGGCCTAAAGACACTTCAGTCAGTAGCACTGCCCTGGGGGAGAAAGAACAGAAAAAGAAACAATAACAATAACAATGATAAAAATAATCAAAATAACAACACAGTCGTTGTTGTTGTTGTCGTTAGCGATCCAGTAGCATCTGAGCGTTAACTCTTCTGCATGATGCCATTCGGTAATAGTTGCATGTCTGTTCTAA